CACTCACTACAGATGGGTCTCTTACACTATATTTTTTTGGCTCAACCTTCTCCTGATTATCTCAGATATGCAAGGTCTCTAGGCTCATTAAGTGCTTCAAACAGAGCAAGACAGACAACCAAAGAGCGCCTTGGTACACGCCTGACCACTGCTCTGATGGGGCCCATCCTATTTAAGTGTTAATGCACCCACTTGCATGGTTTTCCCATATGAAACTGAGCAGTGCTGCATCAGCAGTGAGGAGCTGTACAGACCAGGAATATGTTCTGACCAGCTCTGTGCCATTACCATCATTTTGCAAGCACAGTGTGGGGAAAGCTAAGCCATATGGATGCCAGCCATGTCATGTTACTAGTCCTCAGGACCACAAAATGCCCTTCATAATACAGACATATCCTTAGAAGTCAGCTCTCTCAGTACTCAAGAAGAGATGGCCGACATCCAAACAGAAAAGCCTGGAGGTTTTCATAGAGAAACAGGAACTCTTATTGTAAGAGCCTGCCAACTGCAGAAACAGATGTTTTATGTGCTGCAGAACTTAGAAATCCTTGATACTTATTCCCCACTGAATCAAACAAAATGAAAAAACCAACCAAACCAAACCAAACATACACACACATGCACAAACAAACAGACCGCCCCCCCCCCAAAAAAAAAAAAAAAGATACAACCTGGGGTCACTATTAGTTTAACACAGGATCAGAAACCCTAAAACATAGTTCTTTTTGTCTGGGATTAAAGCAGTCAAGCTGATAGACATGTGTATTTATGCCCCCAAAGGAAAAAACAATGAGAGCTGGCCAAAAGCTGAGCTCTGATGGGCCTTCACAAGTTCCTCTCAGATTCACAGATAAAAATAGATGTTCTGTCAGTGGTGAAACAGACCGCAAGGAAAAGGCTAATGTGTCCTAATAAAAGAGGATTTGGAAATGAAAGACAATAATTTAAAAGAAAAGTAATAGTAAAAATATGGACAAGATTGCCTGTGGCAATGCAGGACACCCACTCTGCCTATAATTTGACATTAATTTGGACTAAAGCATTAAACTACTGTACTGCTAAATGCCATAGAAAATGGGGAGCCAGCTAAATCCTGACAGGACTATGGAAGGAGGAGACCATTATAAGGATGTGATGACTAAAGCAGTCATGCCAAGTTGGAAGGAAATTGGAGAAACGGCCTTCCCCTGAAACTAGCAAATTTAGTTCTTAATGCTGGGACTTCACAACAGTCATTGAGGGACTGTAAACTTTGAAATACGAGGAAAATACACAATGAAGAAAATTGTTCAAGGAAGGAGAAGCCAGTATTTGTAGTAGACCAGTAGCTCATGAAGAAAACTGGCTACACTCAGACTGAATAACAGAGACTCAGTTTAAAAAAAAAACAAACATTTAACATGTCTGGCTTTAGAATATATAGTAATGTTTAAGAGCACTGAGGAAATTGAGATGAGAAGTTTAAAAACATACAAATATGAAATGATGCAAAGAGTATGCTTACTGGAAAGAGTATACTTGAGAACATGTTTATGTAGGGCATGAGGGCTGCAAGGCATTTAGGCATGATGTTCACATTTTTGGGGAAAAGGTGAAGGGTTACCATGACCAAAAGAATGAAATAAAATCAGATGGATCTAAAGAGACAGCATGACTGACTGATCTCATATCCATGCTTTCAAGAAATAATTACTTCTTCTGGCCCTTAGTTTTGCAAGAAATTTTGGTAATGTGCAGAGTATTTAAGACTGATTACTGCATAGAGATTTGAGATATTGAAAAACTTCTGGAGCTCCAGTAAATCACTGAGCCTTAGAAACTTCTCATGTGTGCCTTAGCACTGTCAGCACATTAACTTTTGCAGTGTTTGACCATCAAATTTATTTGCTTGAGCAGCATTCTTCCTTTATCATTTGTTTCATGATTCACCATGAAAGTTTTTGAAATTCTCAGGTGCATGTATGTCCTCACATACCCTTCAGTTGTGCACCCATATTTTATAGAAGTGCAATCTGCTGTCTCCACCTGACATACTTTCAATTTAAATTTGCACCTGTGTACATGACATATTTTCAGTACATTAACAGCAGAATGGATTGCAAGGTCCAGATTGAAAACAGTCAAAACAAAATCAACACAAACCCAAAATGTTATGGGGATTCAAGGAATAGCAGTGGATAGTTCTGGTTCCTGAGCAACAGATTCCTCACCATAAACAGAACTGCAGAATTTAAGATTATAAGTGGGCACAAGGGAAATGTGGCTTCAGGTAGGAATCGTGTATTTTTCTAAAATACAATTGAAAAATGAGACTATATCACTTCACTGTGCTTTAACATTATAAAACAGTCAAAATTGTCCCTTCTGTTCTCTTTCACATTATATTAGTCTTTTATTCTTCAAATATAGGGAAAGGAGGGGGTGAACTAAAAGTTCATATAGATATTAGCCAGTGTGTTAACTCATAAAATTTATGTCTCCTTTAGTACTATAATGTCTCTGCTTCTCTGCAACATGAATAGATACCTCCTGTTCTTGCCTCCAGTAGTGTTAATTTGCACAGTGGGTGACTGGTGAAATGGTTGCAAGGTAAAAGGCATTTGAAAGCTGCCTTTCAAAAAGCCCTTAAAATGAAAAACGAAAAAGAAAATAAATGAAGAGATTACTGTAGAAACAAGGAAAACAAAAAAGGAAAAAATGTGAAAAGAGAAAATTGAGAGAGATATTAGAAATAATTTCCCCCCTGTCCTTTCTTAAAAAAACATGCACAAACACAGTAGTCATGAAACAGAGACAAATAGCACTGTCAGAAAGAGATATGTAGAAAGTAAGCACCACTATTGACCACATTATCTAAGTCTGTAGAAGTGAAAACAATACAGAATATGTTATGCTAGATTCCATACAGGTCTCCACCAACCTTTAAGTTACAGAATAAATTTTGGAGGGACAGAAGTAATGGCAACAGTTAGAGATAGGAGCAAATATCAGCAAAACTAAAGCAGAATTGGAAAAAGAATAGTTGAGGGGAAAAAAGAGAAAGTGATAGAAAAAGTGTAAGAACTCAATATAAAACTTATAATCAAAGTGTAAGAACTTGATGAAAACCTTATAATCAAATCATAATGGCCTTTAGATCAGTGGTAGTTGAACATTTCAGAAAATGAAGAAAAAAACCTGCACTGAAGACCACTGTAGAATAATCTGCTATGGGAAGGCTCTTCTCATCCCAAATCAAACAGATCATTTTAATGCACAAAGTACAAGGCATATATCCCCTTCAAAACATTCCCTTTTTAGAGGGTTAATGGTTTTCAGACTTCTCATTTTCTTATAAGCTACACAGATGTTTCAGATGATGTGTGAAACTGAAGCCTACATAAACTGAAAGTTCCTAAAGATGCCACTCCAAACTCAGTTTTCCCCGCTTGTGCTTTCAGGAGAGACCTACAGCCTGCCTCAACAACATTCTCTCTTAAACAGAGTTTAGGAGAGGCACTTGTTGCAATTGTGGTATCATATTAATGTGTATCACTGAACAGTTTTAAACCTGAAAACTACAGGTTTAAAAGCTACATGGATATTTTTTTTCCTGTTGTGAATGGTGTAGGAAAAGTAGAATGAATTAACATTTTCTGTGAAATTTCAATTATTTGTTCAAACGTTTAAGAGTTGAGTAGACATACAGAATTACTGCATGTGTAATTAGGGAACATGCTTACAATTGCATTAACAGCACCACTAACTCCTCATCAGCACCTCACTTCTCTCTGAAGTGCATCATTATGTTCAAGACATAAGACCATGAAACTAAGACACAGAGCAGCTACGTGACTTTCTTATGAACAGCAGGATGTCAATGGCCAGATCTAGGAGTAAAACTCATAGGGAGGCAAATTACAGGGGTAACATGAGAGAGGCAAATTCAGTACCACACCTCAGTGAGCAAGCTTTCAAGAGAAGTATGCCACCATATGCTGGGTTATGAGATAACTGAAGTATGTTGCTATTTTGATCAGCTCATCATTGTTTCTTGGCCCTGAAATATGCCTTACTTTCAACTGCAGCCACTATTCAAGACAAACCTCCAGCACTGCTCTCTGGTGTCCCATCAGGCCCAGGACTCAGACTTTTTTTCTAGCCCCTGCAACTATGACCTTCAAATCTTCATCACTGAACAGATCTGGAACCTTTCTTGTGAAAACATAAAGGAGTAGGTAAGAGATGCCTTACACAACATATGACAAATAATGTACACAGTATTTAGCCCAATGGGATTTAAGCATATAACTAGAGCTATGTTGATCCCAGATAGATCCAGTCACAAAAGAGTCTTCTCCTGTTCCCTATGCTTTTTTTGCATTATAAACCCCTTTTTCTATTTCTTTAAGGGAAAGGAAATGATCTTTTTTTGAAATGGCAAAAGTATTTTCCCTGATAGGAAGTTCACTCATAAATTATATGTGCTTCAGAATAGCAGTTCCTTTTTTTTCAGGCTACCAGTGAATTGTTTATAAGTCTGGTTGCAAAAGTAAATAGTAACTTTTTACAAAATCTTTCAAGATGCACTCCAATTGTGCTGAATATTATTCTCATTTTTTCTTCCATCCTATCCCCAGATTCCCACATTCAGTATCCAATTCTCTAATCTTCAAAACATGGGTGAAACTGCATTGCTGCATGTTACACCTGTGCAATCATGAAGACAGTGCTTAAAATTTGTGAAATCATACCAAAGCAAACATAGCACTAAGTCAAAGAGAGGTTTCCATTTCCCCCCCAGATCAATGCACTTAGGTATGATTAGCCTCAGCAATTTGTCTTCTCAGTGGGCAATTCTTTCTTAAGCAAGTTAGACTCAGTGCTCAAGTTGCATGGGTTGACTTGGTCTCTCTAAAAGCTTTCCCTATAAATACCTGAGAGAGAAATAATCTCTTTAAAGTTCAATGAAAACACAGATCATTTGTCATTGGAAAAGATCTTTCAAGAAATGTGTTGGTTTAATCACCTGATGCCAACAAGTCATTAATCAGCACAAAAAAGCGTTCATCTGGAACTTGGGCATCTGTCAGCAAAAACGCTGTTGGCATGTTCTTGGCCACAGTCTTGATGTACAAACTGGCAAGATCTACCTGTAAGGAAGGGAGGTAATCACTCATAATCTGTTAAAATGTTGATACAGGAAAAGTGTGAAATGCATGTTAGTAGATGGCAGCACATTGCTGACCTCTCTTTACTTTTTTCACTTTATTTACATATCGCTAACTTGCTACGTAACATCCAAAGGGAAATGCAGTTTGCGTTTTTCTTCCATATCAAACACAGACATTTTGATATGACCTAGTGGTCAGATGAAAGAAATCCTCTCATGAATGTACCAGAAAGTGATATCGCAGCCATGAAAGTCCCCATCAAGAACAGCCACAGACTATACCAACAATGTCTGGGAATTGCATTGAAGAGTCAGATCCATTTCAAATTCTGTTGTTTCTGAAAGACTTGTTTTTTTCTTAAGTGAATTTATTTATGAAGGCTTTCTCATGTGAAAAAACCCCAAACCAATGAAACTGAGTTGTGCTCTGGTGCACTGTTACTTTGGCTATGGCCAAGATGGAGACATGGCTGGGACCATTGTGCTAATAGTGGTACAAATATGGAATGCTTTTTGGCTTGGGTTTCCAGAAAGAAAACAACCCACATGAGTTGCATTTGAGTGCAGTTACACTTGAAATGCAGGATGAGTTAAATGCTGGCTGTTACGAACAAGCTGCCACACAACCTAGCAAAGTAAATCCTCAGCTTGTTAACAGAGGCTTAGAAGTTTCCCTGTTTGGAAACAGCATGGGGGAAATGACCACTTAAGCTCACATCTTACACTGCATCTCATCTGATGAGGGAAGGAGGGCACAAGAAGTTAGACACCATGAGGACACTGAAAAACACACAGCATTTTTCAAAGCATAACAGCATGTACCTGCCTCCGAAAGCCAAAGGCTTAAAAAACCTTGGTCTACACACACTGTGGTGGTTTGGCCATGGCCCAAGGTTAACAGAAGGGCTTTTTGGGGACATCTATCCACCAAATCTGGCCATAATGGGATCGTTACTTGGCCATGGGTGAGATACAGAACTATTGTTTGTTGTCCACATAGAGTGAAAATGTTCCTTCCTTCACTGTTGGCTCACACAGATAGGGCACAGACAGACAGTAAGCCTGATAAGAGCACTTCACTGAACTATATTCCTTGCCTTTCCATACGGACAGTTTAAGTTGACTAAATGACAATATGTGACAAGGAGAAAATTTCTTCTTATGTTCACCCAATTTAGTTTTGTACCCTTAAATCAATACCTGTTCAATGATGTACAAAAATTTGTAACAAACTGCTAACTATGAGAACTCCAACCACATCTTTGTAACCTCTGAAGTAACTGCCTTGGAAAACATGGAGAAACTACCAAAATTCTGTGAAACATTTAAACAGACGCTAAAATACATTTTGCCCACCCATTTTTTCAAAAATAAAGAAAACAAGAGGTCCAGCTGGAAACCACAGGGGTTGTTACTGCAAATTCTACTGTTTTGCCTGTGATTTTATCAAGCCTGTGCAACAACAAAACACATTCTTGAAGCAGTGAACTCAACAAATTCAAATAGTAGCTATCAATTTACCCTGAGGTCCTGCATCCCATAAACTGTCTTCTGCGTGATTTGGAAAAACCCCAGGGAGCAGATGTATGCTGCCAGCCTTGACAAGCTCAGTTTACCACCTACTCCAATCAGAAGTGCACAACCCTTAGGGAATTCTAGGAAATGAGTGATTCGGCACCTGATGACAGAACACCAATAAAGTAACATAGAGTTCAACTATCTCCTTAGTCAACTTTCTAAGTTTCTTTTTATTGCACCACACTTGCTTTTTTCTTTTTTTGGTCTACTTTTGAGGTAATGTTCTCCTGACACTTTAAGGTACATTACCTTCACGTCAGCATTTTATTTCTTTCCAATATTTCAGTAAGTGGAAAGAAAAATTCTTTTCCTTTGTCAAAGACTGAAGGTCTACACTAACCTCTACAGTGACCAGAGCTGTCTGATTGCTTGTTCTTTACACTGAGTCACTCCAAAGCATCACCCCAAGATCCTGATGGGTCCTGACTGGACTCAGAACAGAGATCTAGTTAATTTGAAGGGGAGTTGACTGGACCTTAGAAGCACATGAGAATTTCATGTCTGGCAGTTTGCACCACAAAGGCTGAAGGACAAGAAATGGCTTAATGAAAAATTTGCATCAAACTTCAATTTACTCTTGAAATATCTAGCCCAGACTACTTAAAGCATGTTTTTCTTTGCTGATCATGGGATACTATAGGATGAATAAGACCAGTATAAGAATTTTCTCCCATATCAGATAAGATTTAATTGCTAAAATTTTGAAATGTGTGTATTGAGGTAATCCTTCCCCCCAAAAAATATGTTTTAGATATTAAAAGAATTCTCTTGAAATTGATATTGTGGTAATTCATAAAAGGACCTAAAAATATTAACAAATTTTTATTTTTTTTTAAATCAGATACAAATTCTAAGGGATGAAAGTCTAATTCATCAGATTAGAGTTTAGAGGTAGCAAGTTAGACCTTATGCTTAAATTTTTCCCATGTATAAATAAAACAAACCAAAAAGCATCCCTTCATTCTCTGTGTCTCGTGACACTGAAATAAGTAACCCTTGAAAATACATTGATAAGAACCTTCTTAAATAAAGGGATAATGTGTCTAATCTGGTTGCATCTAACAAAGAGGTAGAAACGCGTTCAACCAAAACATTACTGGAAGCCAATTCTCTTTGACTTCACTGTAGAACTTTGTCAGCCTTATTCATGATTTCACAATGGATCCACAAAAAAAAGCCCCATAAAAGGTGTAGAAAAAATTTACAGGATTTAATTTCACAATCACTTTCGCAGGACTGCCAAATTGCAAGGCTAAGACACTCTGCCACTTATTCGGTGAACTGAGGTACTACTCTCGGTCACTAGACTTCAGAGAGAAGATAATGGCTTACCACCATTTTCAAGCAAAACTAGTGATACCTGAGAAGGCTTCTGTCTGCAATTCTGATGATTATCACATCAACCTCTAAATCAGCCTAACAAAATCTATAGTCCTTATGAAAGATCCATATGATTATCTTTGTAATTTAAGCATTTCTTTAATCCTCTACAATAGACTGCTTAGTGAAGAGTGTCTTCTCTTACATAGCTCCTGCCTGATTACGTGCAAAGTGAAAAACGATGACACTGAAATCCTAGTCCAGCTCAATGAGAAGAAAAGTTTGTGTGTTAAACCGTTTGACACTGCAAATAATAGAAACCGCTTTAACGATACTAATCTCTGCCAGCATGGGCCTCTGTCTCTTTCTGGAAATCACTGATATTACGCATGACTAGAATGACTGCATATGCTCAAGAAAGATTACAAATAATGACAAGGAGCAACAATGAACTCTGTGCCTCACTTATTCAGTAAAATCTCCACTTCATCTTCTGAAAACTGGTTGGTTTTCTTCCATGCAGGGAAACAAAGCAAATGCAGTTAATCAGATTTCAGAAACAGAAGCTGAGATTTTGGGCCATAATGGGTACTAAGCTATTTCCTGACATAAGAAAAACAAATTACATTAAACTGAGATAAGGTCAATCTGCATATGAAAAAAAGCTATGGATAAATAAAATAAATCTATGATGACACTTAGAAGTCTTGGTTGGTTTAAATTTAAAAAAGTACAAGGCTAGGCAGCAAAGCAACTTCAAGTCTGCCACGCAAAGGCATAATTTAGTATGGTATTACTTGTCCTTGTTTTGAACTAATCTCATTTTGCTTTTAAAAGCGTTTTCCCTTTCTTGGAAACAAAAGGTAAATATTGCTTTTCTTATAAAGGCCTGTTACATCATTAACTACTTAAAAGATAAGGCAGACTTAGTCTACAGCTTTATAGACAGTCTTTCAACCTCAGAAGATAAGTGGTGTAAATTTCTATAGAGTGCAAAGAAGGGTGAATCTCTATTTAACCAAACAAAATGGGGGTTAGTTTTAACGCTGAGCCACAATCTACTCTTCTATAACAGCATCAATAAAGTGTATTTATCAGCATTATTGCTGCATAGTGCCCTGCATAAGCCTTCCAATAAGAGTGTTATGAGTCTGCAGTGCAACAACTTCTGAACAGTAAAAAGCAACTTCATGCAAACATTGGCAGCATTGTGATGAACTACTTTATAGATGATAATCTGTTTACACATGCTGCATGGCACTCTCAAATAAGCCTAGGTTCATAGAGGCATGCAGTTTATTGTAGCTTGAGAAGTTCCTAGAAAGCATGTTACTCAGCAGTTCCTGCGCTTTCACCACCTCGCAACAAGGGTCTGCTCCGCTTTTGAAGAATGGCAATAGATGAGCCAAGGCTGCAGCTACACTTGGTCTTTCACATTCTACCACACATATACAGAGAGATAAATAATAGTTAAAAAGTTCCCCAAAAGGAGCACATGAAAAATGTTGTTAAGAAAAAACATTACAATAATGTAGTGATGGATGTACTCACACACTCTGCACTAAAAGACTAAAAGTAGGTGCAAGTAAGGGCTCAAAGCATTTGCATAATACATCCAAACAGGCAGGCTCCAAATAAACTACTAGCAAAGCTGTTTATATCTGTGACTGTTTATGTTTAAACTACTTAAAACTAAGGAACAATAATTTCTTTGTGATAGGAAGTCACTGCTCAACCTAGATTCAAACTGACCATATTATAACCTTTTCTTGTTTTTCTCTTTAATCTCTGCTCTGGTGTCTGGCTACTGGTTTCAGCCCCTGCTTCATGGAAAGGATTGTCAAGCACTGGAACAGTCTGTCCAGGAATGTGGCTGAGTTACCAACCCTGGAGGTGGCTCTTGGGTGGGACATGGATTAGTGGTGGATGTGACAGTGCTGGGCTAATGGTTGGAGCTGTTATCTTAAAGACATTTTCCAACCTAAATGATTCTGTGATACTATGATTATTGATTCAGAGCTTCTTCAGTCTTTGTTTTGTCCTACCTAGTCTTCAGAAAGTTGTTCTTCCGTCTGAAACATTGACTTCTTCTCAAAAAAAAAAAAAAAAAGTATATCAAACTTTGCAAACCATTGCTCTATTTCTCAAAAATACCTTTTATTTTTTCTTACCCTTCTACACATCTCATCTACCTGCCCATAGTCACCTTAGGGTAGGGTCTATCTTGTACTTTGTACAAAAGGCATCTGCTCTTCATTAGTCCACAATCCAATGTATGTCATCAGATAATAAAGAGTACCAATAATAGAGTGTTGTTAGGTTAATCAACACATTCTATAGACCTGAGAGTCATTGGAGAGACTTCTTATATTAAAGGTAAAGTGGAACTTCATTGTAGTTGCTGGGAAGTTTTGAACAACCACCTAGTGAAGTTATATGATGGCTTTTACTACAGCTGGAATAGTCCTGATTACTGGTGGAGTAAAAGCTTGTTGACTGAGGTGGAAGCAAACTATATTGCTACAGATGATAACTGGGGAATCTGATTCACAGAATCACAGAATATTCTGATTTGGAAGGGACCCCACGAAGATCATCAAGTCCAACTCTTAAGTGAATGGCCTATACAAGGATTGAACCCCAAACCTTGGCATTATTTGCACCAGGGTCTAGCCAGCGGAGCTAGTCTTAGAGTTAATAAGAAAAAAAGTTGAAGCAAATGCTGTAAAATGTCTCTGGAAATAAAAAGGGAAAAAGAGATGAAGATTCTCCAGCATCAGACAGCAAATAAGAGTCAATGAAGTGTTAAATAACAATACAGACCAGTGAACATAAATCTACTTGTGTGACACAGAAAAGACTTAAATTCTAGCTTCACCCTTGATGCAGTTCCACAGCAGTCTGGCTATGAGCCCCAAGGACACATCTGCCAGGTGAAGGACCACATGAGACCACAATTGCTAAGAAATTCAGGGGACTCTCAATACCATAATAAATACGGTGCATCTCTTTCTGTTTAGCTATAGGAACAGCAAGATTTTGGACCCCTACTAAATTTCAAATACTACGTTTTCTCCTATTCCCTTTCATCTCCTACCTACTGTGGTGAAAAACTAAACAGTAATTATTTCATGTATTAAATACAGGATTGCTATAATACAACACTTCAAACCACACCTGGAGCCTAGGTTTGATAGTGAAGCTTCCAGCAGTTGGATTCATGTAAGCAACATACTGACAACTATGAATTTCTTTAATAGTTAGCTTCTGCCTATCATATCTGAGAAAGAAAATGTAGTTTGATCAGTATTAGTGACAAAACACTGAAACATTGTACATTTCCAGGCTTAACCTCAGTTCAAGAACAGTTTCTGTACTACGAGAAATCTGAGATACAAATAGTCATGGAAGTATCAAAATAGGATTGACATTTTAAAATTGAAAATAATTCCACAATTTCTATCACATAAGTATTTTGTTCAAAATTTTTGTTGCAATTAAGATAATACCTTCTCACAAAAAATTCTGATGATGAAGACTTTTTTTAAATAAAACTCACTCCAAACACACTTGGATGAGTATAGCATGGTCAGAGGAAGACAGATACGTATATTTAACTCACTCTTTTAATGTCTGAAAACTTCTTTACTTACCAGACCATTCACCGGATCATATCTTTGTGAGTCACATAGTTTCTTCATTTTGTATAAAAATGGTGTGCTTGTAAAAGAACAAGAATCTAATATGCATTTATGATAGCAACAAAGTATTTACACAAAATAATGGTCCTTCTGTAACAAAATGAAATAAAATATTAACTAGGTTGATTTTAAACTTAAAACTTTATTTTTACACAGATCTGCTGAAAGGATACTAATATATTTTATATACTAAAAAATTAAATTGCCATTTGGAAACTAAGAAGGGAATTACCTTATTTGCCAAAATCAACTTAATTATACTTCAGTAGCCATTTTCTGTGGTTTTTTTCTCATGGCAGAGAAAGTGCATTTATTTGGACCAGTATCATTAAGTTTCTATGGATTTTGTCTGTTGCCTTTACAAGGCGAACAAAAGATAGAGGGTGGTAAAAGATAGGCTAAACATCTGGCAAACTGGAATTTAGTGAATCACTTTCTGTATCTCAGATATCCCTGTTCTCAAGGGGTCAATCAATGAGGTCAACATCCAGCAGCTCCATCAAGAGCAGCTGAAGGATACTTTCCTTCCAAGACTCTCCATAGTCCCTTTCTGTTTCTCTTTTCCAAAACTGTTTATAACTTCCAGGGAGAATATGCTTTGCTCTTGAGTGAAGCTTGTGAAGCTTTCTGTTTCTATGTGGCTTAGGGATTCTATCAGGGACCACAACACAAAAATTATAACATTAAGTAAGAAGTACATGCTTACCGATGTCCATAGCCTATATGCTGCCAAATCAATGCAGGAGATCGAACTGTTCCATATCTATCCACTTCAGCCATATTCAGATCATAAACAAAATAGATAAGTTTCTCACTTCTTACTGGACCATAGTATGACCAGCTTTTTTCTCCAGCTTTCTTCCAAACAACTCTGAAATGTAGCACAACATGCATAAAAATTATTACTATATGAAGCAATACTGAAACTAAACAAAATCAAGAGTTCCAAATCATGTTGGCTAAAATTTGTGAAACATTTCATCACCTACAAGTGTTTTTTTGAGCCATTGAAGTCCTTGGTAATCAGTGAAACTCAGAGACTGTCTTCAGAAAAGCATCACCATGGGGTTCTGAATTCCAGAAGAGTCTTGTTGATTTAGCTGATTGACTACTGTACAGCTTTTGAAAATGTCACTGCATATCCATTTGCATCCTTTGAAACTGAAACGCTTTGAATGTGAAATCCCTTCGTATCCCAGCACTCAGAGAGTTCATCAGTGAGTAGATTATTTTCTCTTTCTCCTTGGAAGGATTAAACGAGGACTTTGTCAAAATATGTAAAGTGTAAAAATATGATTTATAAATCTCATTTGATCAGGACATTTAATCAGAAATCTAGTGAGGAATCTCCCATACTAAGCAAAACAAGGCTGATTGTATTAAATTTCAGCCTATTACTCCAAATGAGCTACTTACATGATACTGAATGCAGACCATCAGGTTACAAACTTATTACAACACTCAACAAATTAATTTAAAGACCCTTACATATTCATCAGGACTGTAAAATCTTGAGACATAAATTTTGAGTTCATAAAGTTTTTATCAACTGCACTGCTTCCCTTAGATGTGTAAGGGAAAGAATAACTACAGAAAGCTGTTAAGTCATCTTGAAAACACAGAAGCAAACAACCTTTATTAAGAAATAGTATATTACTGAACTTTAGTGTGAGGTGTTACTCAACTTTTGCCAAATTCCACAGATACATAAGAAGGGATTCATCATCCATGAAAGTCTGATTTCCAATTGCACTGTTTCTATGTTGTACATGAACACAAGAACTTGCAGAAATCACTAGCAATTTATTAATGCAAGACTGGAAAACTGACACTCATCCTTCCTAAGTCATATATTTTTGTTGTTTAAATGATCACATAAATATTTTTTCAAAATAAAACCACTGTAATTGGTGGACTTCAAGGAAAACTTTTCAGCATGTCTCAGAGACTGGGCTCTCACCTTCAATGAGCACCCTAAATTCTAAGGTTTTGTCTGCCTCATTCAGAGCTGGGATTTGAACCAAAGTGGGTTATGAATAGTTTAGGCAATACAGGTGTTCAAATCCTTTCAGCACAGGAGAGAATTTCACGCAGACTCAATACTTCTTAGCAAGAAGAAAAAGATTTCTCTAAAGTTCTGTGCATCTAAGCCAAATTTTTTGTTTTGTCTAGTCAAAAATATAATGAATTTGGGATACACCTGATATTGATTTTGAGATACACCTGATATCAATTTTGAGATAATCAAAGCCACATTTTTTAAGACTTTAATATTTATCAACAAGAAAGGAGTGTGAGGAAGAAAAAAAAGTTTAACAGTTCCATATATAATAAGTAGAATAGGAAAAAACAGGCATTTCTTTTTTTTCACTATATTAGATATACGTATATGGTTTTGAACTTGTCTTGTTTCTTTAAAAACTGGGCAACATGGTCACCAGAGCTTTAGGAAATGGAAACTGCACTTGCACAGAGACAGCTGAAGGCTGTATGTCACAGCACTGCCACAATTCTGACTTGCAGCAGACTTTTTGGTTTCTTAGGCAAAGCAGTATAAACAAATACATAACTGCAAGCAGTTTCCATTAGCACTACATAAGTATTGGGTTGTCATCTTAGATTTTTCATTGAAATTAATCATCTGAAACCTCAACAGTGATTTTGATTGGCCAATTCAACCAAGGTAACAAATGCATGCAAGGACATTTCTGTCTAGTCACAGTCACCTTAAAGCTGAGGGTCGCTGACTGAAGGAGTAAAGAAAGCAGATAAAGAAAGAAAGTGTGCTGGAGGACAGGACAGAAATGGAGAACCTTGACATATTTGCAACTGGATGATCATAAATTTTGGGGGAAAAGGCTGTGACTGCACTTACCCTGCCTTTCTACCACAGAAAAGAAAAAACTTTATGCAGAAATTATTTGCATGTGACAGGTTTAAAGTCTCTTAACTCCCTTAAAATCTTAGGTAAAAGACAATTTTGTTCTGTTAGCTTGGTATACACCTGTATTTAAAACAAATTAGGAATTCTTAGTTTTGATCCTTAACCTTATCTAAATTTTATATAGTGTCCACAATTATAATCTTTAAACGTTTACACATTTTTGTTCTCTGTGGAAGTGTTCCAGACTTTAGTATTATTGAAGACCCCAGACCTAATGTACCAATATTATTTTGCATCAGAACGTTCCTCCATCAAGTAACATTTCAAAATTTTCTGCCGTTCTAGAAGGCAGAGCGGGTGAGTCATATGCCTTGGGGAAATGCTAAATAAAACCCTACACTACATGCTAATCTCACCCACTCTAGCAGACACCTCAAAAAAATTTATGTGGATACAGATAAGATGGGAACTGACAGAAAAGACTGCACATTAAAAGTGATATGATCTGTAAGAAAAATCTTTTAACCTCTAAACTATGGAAAGAACATGGCAATGCAGGGAATAACTGCACTTCAAGTTCAGCTCTTAATCTCTTATTTATGAACTGAGACTTAATTTAAAGTGCTCATTTGTGTAATTTGCTGTGAATGACTCTTTCTACTAAAAAATTCCCAATTCACAATTTGACTGTTCCAAAGAATCACTTAGAGTGATAGCCTAAGACATATGAAGGCATTTCAGTGTATCACTTGAGTGCATTTTACAGGATGAAGCATTGGTACACACAAAACCAAAAATAACATGAGGCAGTAATTTTGAGCCATACATGAGAGTACAAAATTGTTCCATCACAGCTCACAGAAAAAAAATGTGGTAAACACAATGGAAAGTGCACACAATATACCTGTTTCTGGATTGTCGTGCAGTTCTTCACCCACTATGACTAGCAGACGGTTTTGCTAGCAAAGCATTTAACAAGAGGGGCTTGGCTGAAGAGCAGAAGACAGAAGGAAGAGCTGCAGACAACCAGATGAGTCCACTTCTTTGTTCATGTCTTTAATTTTCCTAGAAGGAGCAGGTGGAAGTTCTACAACACTGACTCAAAATATGAAGGAATACTACCAACATTTCAAAGCAAATCCTTAGAGGTTCATAAACTGGTTTATGCCACAAGACAGTTGGTGTGTGTGATACACTTGCAGAGTAAGCCCCTGTGATGCTGACTTCACATCTTTGGTTTATTTAAGAAGTTTCCTGCAAGAAGAATACACAACATTTGGTGCCCAGGCGCTCCTTTCATCAGCTTCTGTTTGCAAGGGAAAGTATGCTTTTGTACTCTAGTGCCATGGTTGTGGTTGCTACTGGAATGGCATCATTAGCTGAAAAAACCCTCTCTGATCAGAGGAATTTCTGAAAGCCCTTTTAAGGCTGATTCCCCATTGAAGGAGCTATGACAGTTTTCAACAGCTCATGATCTCACTCTGAGGCTCAGCAGATTTCTTTTGTCCTAATCTCTCCTTCATTTCAAGGGGCAAAAGGGTGATTAAGTTTTACTAATGCAGGTTTCTATGTTAATGTGAATTTGGAAACACTTCAAAGAATAAACTAAGGTACAAAGTAGACTGAAAATGGTCTTTGCTTATCTGATCTGAATACAGAAGAAATTAACACAAGACATGAAAGAAAAAACAGCGTAAAAACTTATCCAATTAAAATTTTTGGATTCACACCTATTTTTAAAGCCTGGTGAAAATTTGATCCATTAGGAGCAATGTAGATTGGCTAAAAAATAGATGATTGCAAAATCAGTTAAATTACACATCAAGCAAATGTAAATGTTTCTAAAGATTTTATCTGAAGACTTCTAAAATTTTGGAAAGTTTATGAAAGTGAAAAATAGTTTTCAGCATATTCTCCCAGACTTATGAGAGGACAAACTAGTGTGCTAATTTATTTCTCTAGTGCTTTCCATGCTATGAAAAGCTGTACAGTGAAGAGGGCACATAATTTTTTCTATATAGTTGTACTAGTTCAAGTTACCGGAAGGGTTAAAAAAAAAAAGGAAGGCAAAGAGTGCCTATCCACTGACAGCTGGGCTCTCACTTGATTGTTCTGTTCAGGAAGAGCAAAAGAGACACAGGGCTTTCATAAGCCTATTTTGCTTTGACTGTCTGACTCCTCTTGTTCCAAAATGTACCAACATACAGCCCCCTCCAATTCTTAATATTTTTAATGTTAAAAATATTAACATTTCCTTTGATCTGCATCCATCTCACTTATGGAGACTCCAAAGGTCACCAGTCAGTGATTGACTCTCCTTGGGTGTTGTATGGTGCCTAGCAAAAGTAAGCCCAAATCCTGACTATCCTTTTTTGGTGCATCTACAAGCACCAAGCAGAGACACTCAGGCTAAAAAAAGCTGGCTCAAGGCTTCTTGTGAACACTGGTAAAGCCGAATTTTCTCTGGTCCACAATGAGCGAGCAACTTGTGAGAGCACATTGTCAGTTCCAGTTTGCTCCAAACAGTTTCATCCTCCTCCTTTCCCCTTGCCTGCCACATATTTCAAAGTTTTCCAGTTTTCAAAGCAATGAACTTGCCAAGGCCCAGACAACAGCATTAACCAGCGGCTGTGATGAGACCATAATAACTGTGGAATGTTTTTTATCTTTGCTGTTGAGGGAAGATAAATTTCTGGCATCTGTATGGAACTTACTCTGGAGCACTGCTGATGTCGTGGTGGTAGCTGAAAGGGATGTTGATCTTCAGAGAGAGCACCAAGCCTGTTGCCTACAAACTCTGTTATTCCTACTCCGGCACTTCCAACAAGCAAGACTGGTTTGCCTTTTGTTATGAGTAAATCAATACAGTACTGGACATGTGCAGTCTCAGATGTGTGAACAAAGGTGGCCTAAAATTGAGAAGGAAAAAAAAATCCCCAACAAACACATATCCCAGTTTAGTTTTAAAAGCAAACAGTAATTTCTATCTCTCTCTCTGGTTAGGACTGAATTCTAAAACATGATAAAACAGAATCCACCATTCTCTCATTCTCAAACACAATTACTACAAAAAATTGTTTTACTGGATTACTTTTACACAGTATTTCTACTTAAAATTTTTTATTCTGTTTCTTCTAGTAGGAAGCTTTTGAAATCTTGTTGTAGTTGAAATGCATTGGTTCCATCTCAGCCTTTACAGAATGCCAGTCTCCCTATAACCAGTAGAGAAGCAAAGGCTGGTACAAGAGGTAGTTGGTTTAATTTCTCAATTATTTCCATTTAATGTTTGTTCTAGCTTTCATCATACATAGAATTGTTTGGGCAAATAGTTGGCAATAAATAGCTTTACCTACTGTGAGCACCTAAAAGCTTCATTAGCTGATAAATCTTTCTTTTCCAAGCTCTGTGTTTTCCTAACAAATATTAATCCTCAAAGAGAACTTGTTACAGCAGAGTTGATAATGGGTAATGTTTTCTGATCCTCAGCTCCATGTTTCTATGTCCACAGACTTCTAATTCCCCCACGGAAAATTCCTACTCATCCAAGCATTAAAAAGACCTACAGGTTGCAGTGCAATCAAAACACCACGAAACACTTGAGAACACAAACACACAGAACGCTTGTTCTGCATATCCTATGCAGAACACACTGACAAAAGAGCAAAAATAACCAAACCTTCAAACTGAGGCAATTACAACTAACAGTTCATGCTTCCTATTTCTCCACTGACATGTATATAGCATACTACCATAACTTCTACAATTTGTATTCCACAAATATGACTCCAACTCTGGATGTCGTTCAAGAGCATAGTGGAAAGGTGATAAAGTGATTTGCTTGCCCTAGATCTCATGCAATTCTTAAAGTGAAGCTAGTTTAGCTGGCAAAGAATTACCTGTGCATAAAACTGAAAATAGAAGAATATTAAGACTTCAATTTGTGGTGTAATATTGCTGTGGGCATTATTTTCATTGGTTAAATAGACTTGGAGCCTGAATTTTTCCATCTATGGGAAAAAAAGTATAAGCCAGTAAGAAGTTCAACACAGTATGTCTTCAGGAGTGCTTAAAAAATCAACAAAAGCATCACTTTATTGTTAATTCTCATCATTCAACTAAAAGCATGTGGCCCAAATAATGGGGATTTATCCAAATACATCTAGTGAGCACTACTTTCAGGACATCTGAGTTGATGTCAGAAACTGTGAGAAGACTCTGAAACATTCCTGAATTTAACAATGTGCATTGTGTGGTCACTGGTGTGCACTGTACCTGAAGGGGTATATCTGGGTACACATTGGAACTCAGGACCTTATGCACCCAGGGCAGAAACTTCCTCATCTCTGGATCAAGGTATTAATCAAATTTCAACTTTCAACTCCTTAAGTTACCAGCAGCTGAATTCAGCCTGGTGGTTTGAAAGCATTTATTGGTACACTGCAATATCCATATCTGGTCATTCATGTGAAGCACATATGAAAAACAGACTTAACAAAAAAAATCTTATTTGTAAATGCGTGTACATGTAGACTGTGATTAAATAACTAAGAACATCAAAGCAATATCATAGTGTTCCTGCTGTTTAACGGGCTAAAGACAGGTCACTTTGTGATGACATCCTGGATTGAGTTGAGTGGCTGAGCTGGTGTTTGGCTGTTCACAAAGGCTAACTCTCCACACATCCAGCCTAAATATTTTATTTCCTAAAACTTCGAAATTCAGTTTAAATGTACATGTATGTACACATGTGAGACCACAGAGATGACTTGCTTCAGACAAGACCTTCCTAAGTACGGCTACAGAACAGCAAGTCTCTGAAGTCTGGTAGGAAAACAAATATTAATATGACCAAAAAGATCTTTCCATTCTCCTGGACTATATTGCTTCTGATTCATCAGCTTGTGCAAGGTGCTGCTTTACCTATGGTTGATGAATACATCAATTTGTTCCTTCACATGGGCTTCATCTACTTTAAACAGCAGTAAAGTCAACTGCATTTTTTTAGTCTTTAACAGGCAAGTTTGACTAGATACTTCTCGAGAAATTGAGTAAGCAAAATACCAACAAGCAATTTTCAGAGTTTTAGAACTTTCCTTCTCAAACTTTTGTAACATCACAACAAAAAAAATCCCACTAAGATGTATGCACTGTAATGCCTTGTTTATATCTACATTTCTCAGTATAAATCAGCTAAAAGCAGAGGAGGCAAAATCTCTCTCAGTGTCAATGGAAATAATCAGAAAATGATTCAGAGCAGGACCCTAAACTTAGGGTCCAAAATTTGTCTTGAAAAAGCCACACTCTGTTCCTTGGCTAAAGTTAGGTTTTGTGGCTCGCCCAAACAGGCACCTTGCTGAGTAACTGAGTAACCATAGACCAGGTCACTAGAGTTTAAGTTCCTAAGACAGGAAAGCTGAAGAGAATGGCTTAAGCTCCAATCACTTTCCTAAGGGTATGATCAGATTTTAGATTCAGATTTCATTATGTTACATCATTTCAGACTGCCCACAAAATTGGTTTAGCTGTATATTAATAAGAAGGGAATAAAGAGTCTCGATGCTACTGTTCTTAAACTGACTTATTTAGATTTCCCAACACTAGCCTTCTGTAGTATAGCGATGCAAGGACTTCAGTCATGAAGTTGTAAATATATTTTACTGGAAGGCTTTCTAAATACCAGTTTCAATAATCTTATGATTGACATCTTGAATTACACCAACTCATACTCTAGGAGGCACAATCACCCTTACAATATATACAGGCTACTTTAAGTATTCTTGTGGTACCAAATAAGTAAGACATATTGTTAATTAGGTGCTAAAATATTACTTAGCAATAGTGAAAATCAAAGAAATTATAAGAATGAAAGAAAAGAATGCATGCTATCTCCAGAAAAATAAAGGAAGAAGAAAATGGGAAAATAGGTAGAGGGGAAGAAACTGTAATTGTTTCTCAATAGCTCACCTTATTAACATCCATAACAGTATTGAGTGACTCAGTCCACATAGGATCTATATCTCTATTTAAAGCTAACCTTTTTAGCCCCTCATGGGTAATACTGGCTTGCTCTCTCAGAAGAGATGACAGAAGACCTGAAGATTGTATTTCAACAGAATCTTTAGTGCTTAAGTAAGAACATGGCACTGCAATTAAAACTTCAGAAGACTTGATGCATCACTGAAACATGAAGCCTTTGTGGCATCAAAACCATGCTTTCTCCTTTGCTTGTTTATTAGATGGTTATGCAATGTAACAAAAAAAATTATAAATAATCAGAGAAAACTTGATGTAACAAAATGTCTGCATTTAATGCAATAATGACCTATTTCTTAATTCCAGGAGAGTCTGTCATTAGTCTTAATGAGGTGAGTGAGGTATGGGAGGTTTCCTGGGTCTGTGGAGAAAATAACTCATTCTTTAAGACAGCAGCATTAGTATTGTTCAGGCTAATACTTTTCTGTCTACTAGCATCCTGCTCTGCCTTCCAGTCTTTCCAGAACCACCTGTGCTTTGCACCCACATTTCATTGCATCAAAACTCAGAAAAAGGCAAGAATTCTCTTGCTAACACCTTCTCTGATTTCTGGCACTGTCCATTTTGGATGGAGCATGATGCCTTCAGGAACAGGTCCTAGTAAGAACACATGTGCTACTTACCATCTTTCCATTATCGGGTTTCATGGTGTATAAAGCCAAACAGTTCATCAGTTGTCAGAACTTCTGGGTTAGAATTATTCCAAACAGGTATTTCTTTCAAGTTCACATACGTGTAGAGTAGAACTTTTAGCACCTGAAGAAGAGGAACAGAGAGCATGTTAATGGTACTATTTTGATACAATAGGAGTTTTTTACTTTTTCCTGAACTGGATCCCTGACTGCAAATCCCTGCACTCAGCCATTTATTCACCTTGATTTACTCTTGCCTATGTGCTAATTTAGTCCCAAATTTCCATCAAGCCTAAGGATAAGAAAGGATACTCCCATTCTGAAACGGTTGTACTCTGAAGTCAATTCTAATAGAAAGTGTTAAATGGAGAAGAAAATCTATGCAGCTGCCAACAGTTAGTAGCAGAAATAGGCAAGCATTATGTATTAGAATTATTTGTCTAGTGCTTTGGCAATAAATTCCTTGATGTCTGTATAGAAACCTAATTAAAACATCCTGCTTCTTCTTCCAGAACAAAGTATTACTTAGTCTATCTGTCAAATTGAATACTCATTACTTTGTGCCATGATTAACTGTCCTTTGGGACATGCGAACAATGTGTAAAATGCAGAATTTGCTTTGAGCTTTCTATTGCATTAACATTTGAGCTTTCTATTGTACATCACGTGACTGACTGAATGGCCCAAACAGCATGTTACTAAACTCCAGCCTAAGGCAAAGGCAACATGCAGAATGTTTTATGTAAGTGCCACAGCAATTTCTTTACAATGTGAGGTAGAAAACACGCTGCATAGGTAGGCAGGTACCTTACTCTTTCCAGTCCCTGCATTCCCAACGTCAAACACAGTGAGGCACTGCCAGTAGCTCCGCCAGCTGAACAGCCTACCACACAGAAGGGACACACAGTGAGTGCCTTTCCTCTCCTGTTGCACTTCTTAGCAGAGGGACACAATTATTCACAACAATTTTCTCCCCCTCTGCATTTCTATTCCCTTTAATACGAAAAAATGAGCTTGCACCTTCTTGGCAGATTTGCCTCAGCTGAGCTGATGTTGCATCAAGCAAAACTGTCTCCCAGAAAACTGGTAAGAGAATTGGTGCAAGGTAATGAAAGCAGTTACCTCAACAAGTGAGAACAAATCCTATTCTGCCAGACAGCCACACAGTCCAGTAAGACTGTGCCAACCTAGAGATACAGAACAGTTACTCACAATATTACAATTTTGCCATTGCTTTAGCTGAGTGAATTCCATGCTCAGAACAGTTGTACAGCCATAATTCAGCAAAACACAAGGTCAGATCTTCTAAAGTAATACATTGCTTCCAACGAAATAGTTCTACAAGTCACAGAATGGAAATAGGTTGGCGGCTTGTGGATTTCTGCCTTAGTGAAGAGCATTTACACTGATTTTTCTGAAGTCTAACAGGAACAAGTTCGTGTTCCTCAGCACTCAGCTTCTGTTTCACCCAGCTAGTGGGAAACAAAATACTCTAGAGAAGGCTGACTGTGAAGTTCACAATACCCCAAAGTATAGTTTTTTGTCTTTCACTCTTCTGTCAGGATAATGGAAAAAGATAGACAAGAGCGTAAAATCCTTTATAAATCCTGAGATCAGCCACAGTTAACCAGCCTGGTTATACCTGTTTCCAACATACCCTAATAAAGGTAAGTAGCGTGCTATCACATACAGTAGATACAGATGTTCCTAGAAGAAAGATGAGAACATATGCTCTTAGTAGTCCAGATAAGCACATTTTTATTTCATTGGTATACTAACCAGTGTTTCTAAGTTTCACTTCCCCCCCCGTCTGTAATTCAAACTAAAATTAATATTTAAATTAAATATTTAAATTATAGACAACTCATTCTCAGGAGTATACATGGATATATATAGGTACATGCATGTTTTTAATGTGTGTAGCACAATGTGCATTATATTATACATAAATACCTGGGCACACAAAAGTCACATGTAGCCATGCACATTCCAAATCCACACCTTCTTATTTATATGTTTTTGCTCCCTCACTCTTCTTACCTCACTATAAATAATTAACCAACAATGAATTTTCTACCAAGTACAAGTGCTTGGTACTGAGCACAAACAAACTTGTTTGTCACTGTGGATTGTAACTATACATAGCTTTTTTTGAACAGGATATATTTTCTTACAGGCATATTTATCATACAGAGGAGCATTACTACCATGACAAAATGCCTTTGAAATACCAAGTCATTGAGGGACACCTTATCAATACTGTAATATACTCAAAAATAACCTTCATTTGCAATTGCAAATCCATTTGCAATTATTTTGATTGAAACTCTTAAGGGGAGTAATTAAAGGCAATGAATTCTTTTACTTTGAGAATAAAGCTCTCTTCAGGCTTCAAATGAAGCTTCAGGGTAGATTGTTTACCCATCTGTTCAAACTGTAGGTTCCTCTTCCTAGGAACATCCAGAGCTGGAAACAGGTCACTGATCAGGCTTGTGAAAATTGGGATATCATCTGTCACTATTTTAGGGCAATTAAAGTCTCTTTAGATTCATATAAGCACCTGGAAAAGGACAGTAAATAACATATCACAGGAGCATTAAATAGTTCTCTTTTTATGATTCTGTTTTTATTCAAAGGCAAAACATCAGAAATAGCTCCTACTCTTAGGTGCTTTTAAGTAAAGATTTTAGCTGATCCTCAGGTCTGTTTCTTGTCTCCTTGTTTCAAGGGCCCAGCAATTACCAAAACTGACTTGATAGCCTGAAGTCTCCAGTCGTAACAGTGCTGTGAAAATATTTTAACTACTCATGTTAGCACAGGAAATAAAACTAAGTGGGTTTAATGAAGAAAACAATTGATTTACACACAGAGCAAAATTACACATTTTTATTCAATTGTAGCCTTGCAGTGGCTTTAGGTCAGTGTTAGAGTTCTACTAAAGAAAAAAAGACAAAAAAGGGTGAAATGTGTATCTATTTAATCATCAGTACTCCACCACTTTGTTCCTTATTCTTAAATGGCAATATTTGCATCATCAAGTATTATTGTATTCATTGCAACTTTACCTTCATGAAAGGAAGGAATGCAAAAAATGGCTTCCAAACTTCTACTAATTTGACCTGATGTTAGCAATGGTATTTTGTTTCTGAAAGGTGAGACTGGGCAGACTATCAACACATTTGCACCAGCTCCACCACCAAAGTTAAAGGAAAAGATAAACATGTAGATATTCAGTCTAGAGAGAAAGTGTAAAAACATTTGGCAAGTGAAGGGCAGAGAACAAGTCTTTATTCTCCTCTAAGCCCTGCCAGTGGGAAGGCAGATATCCAGTGCAGAAGGCACAACTTTGTCCATGACACATATACTTTGCAGTCCCTCTTTCTCATTTTTTCAGGGCTGTGTAATACTTACCTCTCTCCCTGTCATTCCAAGGTAACATAGAAGTAGAAAGAGAAGGACTTCAAAACAATTTGAACAGCACCTTGACTGACTGGAGTACACTAATATCCAGTTTTGAAGAGGTCTACCATGAAGTTACAGGGCTCTAAATTTAAGGCTACAGCAACACCTAAAGGTGTTCTTACAGCTCATGCAGAGATCCCAGATGGCTAATTTTGGTATAGCCAGCAGTGCGACCAGCTACCATAAGAGCATCTGGCTAAGCATGCAGATAATCAGCTCCTCTCTAACCTCTGTGTTGCTGTGGCTACTATCTCCTTATGTCAGCATGCATCACAATATTCATGTTGGTTGGTCAACAGTTTCCTTGGTGTGTGCACGCTACGTTTTCCTCAATCTGAAAAATCTGTCTGGGGTTGCAACCATCCTGCTGTCATCACCCAAACTGGCTACCAGTTGGGTAAGGTTTGAGAACATATGCTGCAAACCACACCTAGGAATTCAGTATAAATACAGCCTAGTTAGTATTATCACACCTGAACACAATTTAAAAAAAAAAAAAACAACAACAAAACCAAAACCAAACCAAAACAACCCAACAAAAACTCAAACCAAAAACAAAACCAGAAACAAATTCATAATTGAAAAATATACCATTTTTAACTCTATAAGTGTGAATTAAACGCATTTAATATGTCACAAATGATAAAAACTAAAAAGTAATTTTCAAATTCAGGACAGTTCACAAGCAGTAAGAAAAATTTTTTTCATAAGGTAATAAAGATGCCAATTATCTGCATTGAAAATGAGTCTCCACATTTTTAAAATGGTAAAGAAGTTAAACATAGAGCTGATAATGAAACTAGGAAATTTTGGAATATACTGTGCTTAATAAGCTTTTGGTTAGATCAAGGTAAATTTGGGTTTTTTTGTTGGTTTGCTTTCTCATGGGTTATTGAAATGCAGGCTATGTATCTTAACAGCAGCCTGGTGTGTGGATTGTCCAGTGCACAAAGACTTTAAGACATGCAGGCTATTTGTCATGGTATGACAGGACCAGAAGTCCCTTCCTTCACTGCATATGCACTAAAAGCCCTGATAACCCTGTTCTGCAGCAATTTTCATGGGCTAGGATCTTAGTGCCCCAGAGGCATATTTGAAGTTCTGTAAGTTCCCACATTGGGCCAATATTCTCAGAACTCTCTGAACTGGTGTATATTTTTCTTGGCAGCCCAGAATTTTTGTCAAAGGGATTTGATTTCTTCCATTTCCATTAAAAGCAAACAAAAAAACAAGAACGTTCTAGCTTTTGCTTCAAACATTAATGTCAATATTATGATTAATATAGAACTGGCAAAGAATGGTATAAATTACTTTTCTCAATTCAGAAAGTGCCTTCAGGACAAAGTAATCATTAGACTTGAGGCATCCTTGTTCTACTGAAGCAAACAATATTAATTATCTTAAGATACGCATGGTTTAATTTCATTATCTCTAGAAAATGGTGAGAATGTGTCAAGAAATTTTCAAGATATTTAGAGGTAATTTCAAAATTATGCAGGCGTGAAAATAAAGTAGCTTTTGATTTCATCATGGCCTTGCCTGCTATTTGTGTTTATAGCTTAATGTTTAAGGGTTCTCCAAGATCTTCTTACACTGATAAAACTGAATATTAAGAATGTCTTGGGAAAATTATACTGTTCAAAATGACTAAAACAGCATACA